TGTCCCAACCTTGGAACCGGTATAGGAACGTCTCCCTTCCCGTTCCCATGTCCTCCTTTTCCCATCGTACGAGAAAGCAAAAAGAAAAGAAGAAAGCTGTTTCTTCATCCCTTCGGATCGCTCACTCCCACTCTCGACATCGGCAGGATATATCCCCGCTATGTCGAAATGCGGTCCCTCCGAGTGCGTGCCCCGTACTCGTTATCTGTTCGTGATTGGGGGAAAAGGGGGACGGCGGGACGTGGAGCCGGAGAGGCCGAGGGACGCGGAGCCGGAGGAGACCCCGCCCTGCGAAGGTGGAGTCCCCTCGGGGAGGCATCTCGGGATTGGCCCAGGCGCTGGAGAAAGACGCAATTGCTCAATCTCGGACTTTGTTGGTCAACACCCGTAAATGACCCCCTATTATCCCCTTCCCATGTACACTTTTATCACGTTGTTCGTGTCATGCATGATCGGACGCGGTCCCTCCCCCTTTTCTCTTCGACCGCTTCCGTCTGTCTTTCATCCGTCCGCCTATGTACCTAGGTGTAGGCGTTCCTTGTAAGATGAAAGGGGTTCTTTTTGACGTTTGCGAAGGCATACGCTTGATCCGTTGTGGGAAGAGGGAAAAGTCGTGCCTCTCCCTTCACGTTTTCCCCAGATAACGCCTGCGAATTTCTCTCACGCTACCTGAGAGTGCGAGATTTTCTTCGCTCCGATTATGCGTTTGACTTGTGTGCATTAGTTTTTTTTCTCTCGCTCTCTCTTGCTCCGTTTTTCTCTGTGTTCCTCGGCCTTGAAAATCCGAATGTCTGCTTGTCGGAGAGAATGAAGAAAAACGGACTAATGATTGCCTGAAGGCCTCCAAGATTTCTCCCTTTGTTCTCCCGTTTGTCCTTGGCGAGGATAATCCAGGTTTCGAAGCCTGGTTACATGTCCGTGCACGAAATGCATGCCCCTTTGCGAAGAAAGTCCCGGAAGGTCTGGAAAGCAAAGAGGGGGGGCTTTTCTGGGACACCATCAACACGAACACAATGAATGGGCTCAGATAATGATGGTGATTGACGGTGGATGGATATTATACCGTACTCGCTTTCCCTTCTTCGCGTACTGCTTCCTCATTTCGCCGGGGTCTGCTCCCTAATGGCCCCACGTGTACCTAAAGTAGTCCATTGAAGTTCCCCTTCCATTGAGTCTAGAAGAAAGGCGAGTGGCGAGTCTTCGAGGGTCCTTTGTCGTGGGTGCTTCCCATTGTCCGGTGTGGGAAATATTGGGGAAAACGAAGCCCATTTGCCTCTGGGATTCCACTCGAGGGATAGTGGGGTTCATAAAATTCCGTGACAAGACTTGCCTCTCTTTCTCCGCGGAGTCGTTAGGATATCTGCATTGTGCAGACGAGATTTATGCGAGAAATTTCAGAGTTTCATTTTTCTCAGCCATCGCAAAATCGAGCCGTGAAAATTCCACGCTTTGATGTGGCGGTGAAGTACAGCACAAAGGCGCTGGAATATTTGAAGACCGCGAAGGGAATTTCGGATCCATGGTCATGATTATTTGTCCGCGTCATTGTTACCCTAAACCACAAGAATGAGCCGGGAATAGCCATCATCATCCCCATCCTCCAGAGAATGTCGATTGCGACATGGCTCAATCTTTTCAGGAGTCCAGGAATCGTATAAAATCATGCATGGAAGATTTCGATTCATTTACCTGGACCACAATTGTAATTGGGTTGCGTCGTGTGTCCACTTTCTTTAGACGAACTTTAGTGCTTTGCTTCGCGTGCACGCTCTCATTAAAAAATCTCCTGATGTCCCGTCCCATTATGGAAAGGTTTATATGTCTATGTCACTTTCGCGTGCCATGGGGGGAAAGGCTTATTAGTTTGTGTCACTTGAGCTTTTCTCAGTGCATTACAGCTTTTTTTTTTCGATGCTTGATGACATTGCGGCTGGCGTTTATGGTTTGATTCTTATCGTTATATGAAGGGGGGAAAGGGGGAAGCCTTTAGACTTTTCGGGGTGGTTGCTCCGAAAATGGTAGTTCCCACGCGTTCCCCCTTTTTCGGGAGTTGTTCGTGCGAGGAAAAAAAAAAGTTTTTCTCAGAGAAAAGAGAGAGGAAGAGACCGGAAGACTTGACCCCCCTTACCAGTCATTGACTCTTCTCGTCTTCTCTGTTTACACTTCGACTGATCCTCCCCGCTTTCGCACATGTTCGTCAAGCGGTGTGCAATTTTTTCGCGCTTCATTTGTCAGCGGGAGGGGTTCGTCAGCGTCGCAGTGTTTGTTCTGGTCAGATTTTAGAGTCCTTTGCCTCTGCCGACCTTGGGAGAGTCTGCCCCCGAGCCGGATTTTCTTGTTACCGACTACCCTCCAGGAATGTTTCGAAGGATCTTTTTTTTTTCGTTCGATTTTTTTCCCAGCGTTTTGCAAGTCCTGTGAGGTAAATCACGACAGATGAAAAAAAAAAAAGAAAACGGAAACCGCAAAGCCAAGGAGGGGATAATTCACTGTCTTCGTCCCGGGAGAAGGAGCATAGTAGGTCCAGTCCAAGATTGGGGATAATGAGGAGTAATGGAAGGAAGAAAAAAAGAAAGAAAAGAAAAAGAAGGATCGTGGGAGAAGCCAGAGAAGAAAAGAGGAGGGAAGGTGGGAACCAATCAGAAGCAGAGTTGCGTGGCATCGGCCGCGAAGCCCCGACCAATCAGGACAGGAGAAATCTGAAAGGCCAATGAGCCTTCGCCTTCCTCTAGATCCCTCGCCTCGCCTCCTCGATCTCCTTCCTTCTCGAGTCGAATACTTGCCGGCTTCTTGCCCCGTCTCTCGTTGCTTTTCTTGCATCCTGAACGCGATTCGGGAAAATTGCCACAGGTTCCCACAGACCGAAGAGAACTGGAACGGTTAGGGAGGTGGAATTAGAGACTTTTAAAAATATTTTTTTTTTAATGCCCCAAAACTTGGAGAAATCGGGGAATTTACATTTGCAATCACTCGCACAGATTTTTTCAGGTAATGGAAAAATATTCTGAAAGATGAATGTGATTTGTGAAGGTCCGAATTTTGACCAGAAAATATTATTTCCTTATACCTGGAAAAGCCTGTCTGAGTCTGAAAAAGAATAAAAACATTTGATTGGGAACCCAATATCACACTTGTCTGTCCAAAGAAGAAAAAAGAGAGAGAAACGCTGTAGTTTTAAATAATTTCCAACGAAATTTCACGTTGCAGTTTCAGCGGTGCAAGTGTGATATTTTCTGTCACGAATTCTCTAACGATCTGGACCTGAAGAGCGCTTACTGCCAGTTGTGTTGGTGATGAAATGAAGTCTTAATTAATTTTAGTTGTGAATATTTTGATTTTATCATGTTGATGTCCCAGTTGCAGTTAACAATTGGTTTTATCCATGCTCCCTATCTCACACGTGCTAGTGAACTTGGTCAACTGCCTCTGCTCAATTATGGGAAAACCTGAACGTTCAAAACGCAACAGTGCGTGTACATGAACGATTCAGCATCAATCTTGCCGCAATCTCGTCGCTTTTCTCCGGAAAATGGCCGCTTTTCGGCCGATTCATAGAGATTTGTTTACAAGAACCTGCCGTGAAAAAAGAGGACTGTGAAAGTTCGTCGAGTCGAGAGAGACCTGGATGTTGGATGACCGTAAAAAGAAACGGTCTCTAATTCGGTGGAATTGCGTGACGAGACGGTTCTCTCTCTCCGCGGATCTTCCTCGATTCCGTTCCCATGCAGCCTAGGATCTTCCCCGGCACGCATGCACATCCATCCACGTTCCACCGTGGTTCCGCGGGTTCCCACGGAGATCAACTTCGAATCTTTGGGCAGTCGACCGGTAATCTGTCATTATCGGGAGCGGATGATGGTGATGATAACCTATTTCGAAAAAGTTCAAGCTGCGTCTCTGACGCTGATTTCCTGGAGAAGTACCACGTGTATCAGTAAATCCGTGTGAACCGTGAGAGATACCACCTTGGATACCAGGTGAAATTTCAAATCTGAAGTGTCAGTGGGGAACTGGTGGAAAGTGGATGAGTTTAGATCAGACTGGAGGCCACCTGCAGTTATCAGAATTTTTCAGCACTGAACATAGATGCAGATGGTACTACAGATAATGCTTCAAAACTCTTGTATTTTGACGATATAGAGAAACGTTTCGTAAATTTATTGGAGGGCATTTGATTTTTAAGAAATGTGGAAATCCAAAATTAGCGCGCAAATTGGAGGCTGTCAGTAACGATTTGAATCTATGAACCTTGCACGAAAACAACTGTAGGTAGGAAACTACTTGGAAGTTACTAAATAATTAAGTAATTTTTGGGTAGCATGTAAATTATTTTAGTTCCTTTATAAGGACTGGGACCAAGTATGTTTTTGTATCCGTCAGTTCCAAATGCAGGAATACTGTTCTCTTGATTTCTACATAAGACAGTCAACAGAGCCTTAGTTACTTGATGGGAACTCTTAACTTTTCAGTAACTAACTCAGTTTTGATTACGTTTAAACGTAACTATTCCACGCAGTTCGCAGCTCCTTTTTATGGTGGTTTGGAAACTGAACAATTTACATTCTGTCGAAACTGTTTTGCGACATGACATTTCTCAATATTGGAGTTGGTGGTGCAGAGAAGGAAGGGGTAATCCCTGCAATTACGAAATTAACACGTACATCGTGGGATTGCGGAATGCAGCGATGAAATTGCCCAACAGAAGCATGAATCGAATTTTTGAAAATCCCTAGTCGACCGACTGCAACTGCCAGCCTGGCGGGGTAAGAAAGGCATAGCAGCCCGATCGTATTGTTTTGGTGGGAATGATTTGATTGGAATGATATGGGAGGAGCGTGGGAAGAAGGATTCCTGGGTATCTTCGCATCGATCTCCGGGATTCTCACTCGTGTCGAAGCAGAGGCGAGATAAAGTGTAGCGTAGAAGAGATATAAAGTGAAGCCAGGTCGGCGGAACGTCGTAATGATCACCTTTGTGTGTAAGGAATAAAACAGCGTAATATGATTCACTCCAGTGGGCGGAAAATTCTCGGACCCATGGACCTGCATGACTGCCTTGAGAAGACACCTCGGTCGGGTTCTCACGCGTTGGGATGTGCCCATCCGTACCTGGTCGACCCGGTCGATCCCGGTGTCGACAGGGGAATCGTCGGTCGGGAGACTGGAGTTCTTGATTGGGGTGGGGGACAAGGAGGCAATGCAGGAGATTCGATGAAAATAACCGCTTAATATTCATGAAGAGAGGCATAGGACTGAAAAGGGGAGTCATGTGGCCCGGTTCCCATCATCTATATTTGAGCGGGGGAAGGAAAATCTCTTGCCCCTTTTGCAATGGAATTGCGCCGCTTCTCCGGTCTATCTATCGATCTAGAATGCTCCGTATGGATTCCCTCTAATCAGAACGAAAAAAATCGGATGAAGCACATTATCGCCCCTGCATGAGAGAGAGATAGAGAGAGAGAGAGAGAAAAAAAACAGAGATGGGTAATTCCAGGGGCGCTCGGGAATGAGGAGATGATTACGGTTGTCCACTTATCTGCTTCCGCAATCTAAAGACCGGGGGGGGGGGGAGATTCGGAGAGAGGCATGGGAACGTGGTGGTCGCTCGCGCTTCGCCTTGCCCCCGGGCCACGTGGGAAAGCCCCTCGGGGCATTACCCCTCGGCCCCTCCGTCCAGTCCTCCCTCTATCTCTTGCGCCTATTTCCATCATAACACCCCATTCACCCATTCATTCGACGGGGCCCCCACCGTGGGAAACGCTGGACTCTGACTCCGTCGCACCGCTTCATTACGATATTTCCTATGCAATTTTTTTTGTCCCTGAGTTTAATTATCCATTCATAAAAATTTTTTAATTATACGTATTGTTAAGAGGTGACAGGTGGTATCGGGTTTCACTTTATTATCTGGTGTTATCATTCATTAAGGTTTGCTGACAATTCAGCCCATTAATCCCTCGGCCTGGAAATTTCATGCCACTGGTAGATGGATTGAAGGAAACCAGGTCGATTGAATGCGAGTCCCAAGAAAGGGGAAGAAAGAGGTTAGGGCGCCGAAACAAAGGCGATGGGATCTCCAGGCCCGACCGGCTTTTAATTGGCTCCTAATAGAAAAACAGTCACCGTCCTCATCGTCCTCCCTTCCTTCCCAAAAGGTCTTTGTGTCCTTGTCTCTTTTAGTCTTCCTCTTCGATAACGAGCCCATTGTCTCCCTCTGTTCCGACGATTCGATAAGACCCCTCGGAAAAAGGATTTCCTGGTGCCTTCTAACCAGGCCGCACCTTTTCCTGATTTTTATTGTTGGTCACGAGGGCGGGAAATTTTTTTCTTCTCGTCCTTCGGATTTTTTTTTTCTTCGTCTCATCATGTCTTGTCCTCTCTGTGGTAGATAAGGAGTGTTGTCCTCCTGGGATTGTGGCCAGCAGATTCCCACGATCATCTCTGCTGTCTCCATTCATAGAGCATTTGGTTCCCACTCTCCCTCTTATAAGGTTCCCAGAAGGAATTTTCCGCGGGGTCACCCGTCGTAGCACTTTCGGCACCACTCGAGTGTCTGCTGCCGATTCGCAATGGACATTTGGCGAGTTGGCGACGCATGCGGAAGGAAGGGTTTGGGCATCACCTGCTTGATAATAGTGGGAAAAATGGGGGAGCGTTTCGGAATGTGGGGGTGGGAGTGGTCCCTTTCATGGCAGCACCTGCTTCTAAATTTAAATTTCAAATCGGTCTCATCCCGAGTGGGATCCCGTGGGAACGGGAGTCATCTCTTCCCCTTTTCCCCCTCGTCGGGGCATTCACAAAAGTCATTCCTTTGAAAGGAGCCTTTTTTTCCCACCGGATGGGGATCATTCCTCTCATGCCAGGTGAAATCCTGGCGATCCTATCGAGATCGGAAAGACTCATTCGTAACATGGCCCACAAATTGGGGTCTCCCGATTCTTGTTTGTCCCTGTCGACCCCTTCCATGACCGGGTTTCGGATCGTGGGAGAATATTTCTTCGTCTTGCATGTTATCTGCGTAACTCGGAATGTTATCCCAGCAGCCCATCTTCTTTCGTCCGCGGCGAGGAGTCCCGACCCCGAGAGTAGATGTAGGGATTGGGAAATTATTGTTATTACTGCTCATTTATTTTAATTTAAGCTAACGACCGTTTGCTACTTCCGTTGACTCTTGTACTCTACCCGTGGAATCATTTCCTAATCCCATTCTCTACTACCTCGGGCACGGTAGCAATTGTATGACGATACGTCAAGAGTAATTTGAAGAGAAAGTATCTTGATACCCCTTTCACTCAGACTCGATGAAGTATAGTAGCTGGAACGAGCCCCTTCCGCCTGAGTCTGCCCCCCTGGAAAGCCCGATTAATCCGGCGTGGATTAATTAAGAGCGAGGTGTTTAGTCAGCATGCATGGATGGACGGGCATGTAATGAGGGGGAGATTTTATTTTTCTACTTCCCTGATCAGGTGCTAAATGGACCCAGGGGAGGGCGTGGGAAGACCCCCGGGTGCCAGGTGCACGGGGAGAGAAAGTTAACTGGACCTCCTCATTGTTGCGCCACCGTTTGTTCACCCCCTTGGGGGGGAGGTGGGGTGGGGGTGGTGGTGGGGAGGGTTTCCCACGTTTATAACGGAATGAGTCGGCACTACCGTGCTGCTTTGTTTGACGCCACCCCCAACTCCATTCATCGATTCGTTCATTCATTCTTTGTGTTCAATCGACCCACTTCGTATTATTTTAAAAGAAAAAAGATTTTATTTTTTTCTTAGTTTTCTTTTTTTCCTTTGACTGTAAGATACCCTGGAGGCCCGAAAGAAGACAAGATGGGACCGGTGCTTCCGGTCGTGTCTGCGCGTGGGAACGTGGATTCATTACCTTGGGCCCGGCTCTATTAAAGCCGGAGATAATGACTTTTAATGACATCTCATTCATATCAGACTGACTCATCCTCCTTACAATGCAACCCCTGCTGCTATAACACCTCCTTCCCATTCAGAAACACCTTGGGATGGATAAATTATTCTTTAGAGCGAAGTCATAGTACTGCATGCACAATTTGGAATCGGTGGGAAAGATTTTCTGTTTGTTTATCGTGCAGCTCTGTTTATTTAGCATTTTCTGGTGCTCGGGAACCGATGTGCCGTTGTTGAAAGGGTTTTGTCATGGGAATGTAGTGCGATGGGATGCATCCATAACACGGAAGAGGAAATGAACGCGTTCCGCCCCTTTTAAAAGGTCTCTTCTTCCCCTCCGCGTTTTGGGGTAGGGGGAAGGGGGGGATCGGGATGGTCTCCCACGCATTACGTTTCGGGGCTCATCTCCCCCCTTTTTCCCCCCTTTTCCTCAGTATTTATATCGGGCTGGTTTGGGTCTTTGAATGGGGTGGATGAGCGTGGGAGCCGACGTGACGTCATAGTGGGAAAATGTCACCGGACTCGCGTGGTCAACATTCCCAGGACACTATGGCGATTCCTTCGCATTAGATATCCCGACTTTTTTTGTCTTTCGTGCTTGGGGGTCATTCAACTCGGGGAAATTTGGCCGCGTCTCTCCTCCAAATATCACCCGTTACCCTATCGGCACCGGCGTCCTTTGACTCGGTGGAGGAACGAGAGAGGTCTCTGTTTCTCACGGCATAGTAGCCATGCCATTCTCAGGGGTAGGCTGTGAAGGCATGACCAATTAATGGAGCAATTAATGGAGAGGGGAGGCTCTGACATGGATCCTTGACAATCGGACATAGCCATGTGTCGGTGAACGGTTTGATAGGCTCTTGCGAGAGGGCGTGGGAAGGTATTTAAAAATACTCGAGCTTGGCTTCTCTGGTGCTTGGGGCTCGTCCACACTGCACCTGGACTTTCTCTCCGGTGTGTGGAATCAGGCCCTCGATGATGGAGAGGGATTTTGTTCCATGTTTCACTCCCGTGCACAAAAGAGGAAACTTTCGTCTTGTCAGTGGGGCAGAATGGCGCAATAGAAACTAAACATGGGCAGCAGATGTCTGGTGTACAAAAAAAAAAATTCTACGGTTGGCCGGGTTTTTCAACCAGATTTTTGCGGTCAGCTTCTTTGTCCCCCCTTGACTGGAGAAAAATCGGCTTCATTTTCCTTCTTTTTCTGTTGTTTTTTTTTTTTTTTCTTTCGGCACCTCCTCAGCATGGGAGTGTTTCGCGCATACGGTATAGTAGAGCATCTTAGAAAAATAATGGAGGGGATGTAGTGCCTTCCTTCCGGTGACCGTTGACGACGACGACGATGATGATGATCATCATCATCATGAACCGATATTGTTCCCGTGTGTTCCCCACCTGGGGACTCTTCCCATGCCCCGGCGGAATGCCCCAATTACCCCCAAGGGGTCAAGGGGAAGTCCCCAATCCCCCCTTTGACCCCCTTCCCCCTTCCGAGGGGTCTAAGGGGGGTCCTTTCATTCCACAGAACATTATTCCCCGCCCCCATTAAGGTAGAACGCCACCGTGTTTGCCTTCCGTTTTCACTTGGCCTCGTCGCCGTTCTGTTTGATCCCGATTATCGGTGCCATAACGGCACCATTGAAGCAAAATTCCATCGATCAAGGTACCAATTATCTACGGATGCTTCGACTTCGATGGCGAGGGTAAACCGTGGCCTCACCTTTGAATCCCGTTTTTCTTTTTTCTTCGTTAGGCTCGACGCCGTGAATGGATGAATGAATGACATTTACTACGAGAGAGAGTGTAGCGTAGGAAGATCCCAGGGGTGGGAAATTCGGTCTAGGGATGACACACTGTCTGTGTCTGTCTCTCGGAATGCCGCAGGAATTTTTCCCAGTAGTCCTGAGAAATCGATCCCGTGTTTTCTCGTCACCGTTTTCCCTCTCCCTTTTTCCGTATCCCTCGACCTTGGACCCATCGGTCGGTTTTCGCAGCGGCCTCATCCACGGTACGGCGTGCAGAGGTTGTCGTTACTATTTTACTCTAATTGGTGCTTCGCATGTCGTAACGCTCAAGAGACCTTTCCTCATTGGTGTTTTTTTTCCTTCAAAATTTAAGAATTTTCCTCCGATTCAAAATTTCTCATCGCAATTTCCGTTCGAACCAACCGGCTGAAAATTCTCGAAGCACCTTCGGCACGCACTCGAAACGGTGAACCCCGCAGGGGGGGGGGGGGGGGGGGGGGGGATAGGAAGCGTGGGAACGGAGCAAGTGTCCCCTAATGCTCTCGGCCTGTCTCATCTCCGGAGATCCAGAATGGAGCAGAAAGATCTCTCTCTCGCTCTCTCTCTCCCTCTTTTCCCCCTTCTCGTCCCTCTTTTCTCGCTCGGCTCTCAACCGTGCATATATGCTCTGCATATACAGCTTCCTATTCCGAAGGAGCCCTCTCGACTTCCGCATCGCGGAAGTTTGCCCTCTCCACGAGGAACCGATGGCCTTCCCGACACCACGGGGAGCTCGTGTAGCATGCGCGAGAATTTCCTTTCTGTGAATGTTCGTAGCATTATTTAAAACGACGGTAACCGGGAGTTTCATTTACGGTTCGAATGCCGCTTGGAAGTGCAAGAGAAAACCAGGAGATTTCAAGCGGTTCTTTGTTCTTTTCGCAGGGTCAGTTCCCAGGTAGCTTTGGAGGCGCGGGAGGTGGAAGCAGCGGGACCGGTGGAGGCGGAGGGGGCGGAAGCGGTGGTCCGGGGACCCCGTCGGGGGGCGAGGAGGGTGTTTGGTCCCAGCCGGACCTGCCCTCGTACAACGACGCCGGGGCCGGGCCCCTGTCGCAGTCGGCTGCTTCGCCGGTTTATTACGCGCAGCAGGTCGGTGTTCCGGTTTTTCGAGGGGTCGGGTGGTGGGGGGTGATGGGGTGGGGCGAGGAGTAATGGATGGGTTGGACTACTTCCTGGAAGCAATTTATAAAAATGGGTTTTTGCAAGGCACGTAGTTGATAAGGTCGAGGTAATGATCCGAGAATGAGGTTGATATTTCTGATGAAGCATCCGCAGTTTTGATGTACTCGGTGAAACAAAGTTTGATGCATCTGATCCCCGAACGAAATCGTGAGAGCGCGTTGGCCAATAAAAAACCGTTTCGAATGCGAGCCCCATCCAGTTTCCTCGTCGCGAGAGGAAATCGCAGAGTTTTGGGGTTTCTAGCAGCGCCGTTCCCATGGGAAAGGGTTTTTTATAGCTGCGAACGATCGAGCCATTAGCAGTCATTAGGTGACGTCATATGCAAGGGTGCAATTTGCGGGGTTCACCGTTTCGAGTGCGTGCCGAAGGTGCTTCGAGAATTTTCAGCCGGTTGGTTCGAACGGAAATTGCGATGAGAAATTTTGAATCGGAGGAAAATTCTTAAATTTTGAAGGAAAAAAAATTAGTTTCGCCCTTTCCACCCAAGCTGCGAGCGCGCTCATCTCCGTAGCGTTCGTTAGTTTTTGATCTAACAACTTCTACTTGCCTAAATTTGGGGACTGTAAACGTCAAGATTCACTCATTCGCTTGTTGCCTTGAGATATAAATGAAATTCCTCCAGAATCTAAAAGTCTCGTACTTTCGGAATGATGGCACTTAAAAAGCAATTTTCAGACCTATGTCATCAGCGTAAAATACGGCACGAATACCTTGAGGCTATGAGTTTTTTTTTTTATAGATTTTTTTTTTCAAAGCGAATAATTTTAGTATGGGAAGTGATTTCCCAACGGACGCTGTAGGCTACGACGCTCGGAAAAGCGATGCCGGTGGCACGGTGAGAAAGCCCAGGTTTTCTCATTTTATTCGACAAAAAACGGACGCGTCTCGAATTCCCCCAACGACGAGAAAGTACCGACGCTGCCGTCGGTACCGACAGCGACTGATGTTTGAAGTATTTTTTCGTGCAGGGTTTGTTGAAGACCGAGCCGGGAACCGAGGGAGGGCTCGACGGAGGAGGGGCCCTGAGCGAGCTGGGACCCTTGCCCCGGTTCGCACCCAGCGGCGGCGGGTCGCACGCGGCCCCGGTCGACCTGTCCTCGGCGACCCCTCCGCCGGGAGGGCACCGGACGCCCACGGGGGCGGACTTCGACGTCCAGGCGAGGCGGGCGGATCCGTTCAGGAGCTTGACGCCGAATCAGAACGGTCCGCTTAACGTGTCCATCGGCTTGCACGATTCTCCCGGTGAGGCTCTTTTTTTTTGTCGGTAACGCTCGAGGTGATGTGAAGAACGGTTTGGTTGCCGGTTGGGTTTGATTTTGATTGGGGTTTTCGTGGCTTGACCCAAGCTCGGTAACGAGTTATTGTGAGGTGCTTTCGAAACTACTACCGGTCGTAATTTTCGATTAAGCTGTAATTTTCGAAAATGTTTTACTCGTAGCGGGTTGGAGGTGACGAAGATCGGTGGGATTTCTGTATGATAAAGTGAATTTCGTGTTTACTCTCGATCGCGAAAGAGTAGGATTTTCCCCCGAATCGATCGCAGAATCCCGCGGCCGAAAGATCAGGCCTCGCAGGATCGAGATATGCCTTGCGGCCCCATATGGTTGCCTGCAGTCCGCGATGGGAGAATTCTTCCGCGCGAGGAATTTCTGGGGAATCCCGGCGATGTCGGGAGGATTCCGAGCGAGGAATTTCCGGCCGCGGTGCACGCCGTCGCGACGAGGCGATCGTCGAGGCGATTGCGTTCCGAGCGAGAAATCCGAGCGGTAATTGAGAGGATCGAACGGTTTCTGCCGAGTTTCATCGTTTTGCGCTCACCGTTTCCCGAGTGGGATAATTAAGCGGCAGAGCTTTCGGGGTGCCACCTGTTGTCTCGGCTTCGTGCCCGGTGGCCGAAGCGGCCGCGGACGATTTTCATTGCCGATATCGGCCTGCTTGTTGGAGCGGTTTTTTTTTTTTTAGTTTTCTGACGAAATTCTGCTGCAAGAGAACTCTTAACGAATACCTGCCCGAACGACCACTCATATATCTTCTCCCATACCACAAGGAAAAAAAAAACGAAAATGCAATAGCTATGAAAAATATGCGATTCTGTCCTTACCGATAACCGGCGCGTTTCACGCAAAACAGAGGAAATCGCCTTCGTGACGGTTTCGGCACGTGCCTCAACCTTGCTTCCCTTGTTTTCGAGGGGGAGGGGCGGGGGGGGGGGGAATTCCACGTGCAATCTAAATATATCGTCATGCACGGTCTGGATCGAACGGAGCGGTTAGCGTTCGCGTTCGAGCGTGCACGGAACGGAACGGCGAAGACAAGGCAGGACTTCGCTGCGGGGACTCGTCTGGAGGAAAATAGCGAGAAGGAAAATAGAGAGGCTGTTTCTTCACGGGCCGCCGTGCCCGCGTGACGAGGCATTCGAGGGACGTCGAGTGGAATGCGGGACTTACTTGGTGGTTGCTTTGGGTTTCGAGGGAAATTTGTGGATTTGGAATGGATGCCGGGAGGTTTTGCGGGGTGATGTCGGCCGTTTCTGGCGTGGGAGGTGCGGTTGTCTGTCGGGAGGTGGAGCCGGATGCGTTTTCGGGTCGAGGGGGGTCCCGATCGCTTTCGTTTTTGAGGGTGTGTTCGCGGGAAGCAGGCGTCGAATTGCTGGGTGCGTTCGATTCCGGCCGAGATGCTTGCTCGTCGTCTGGTCGACGAGAGGATGGGGTATCCCGTTTCTTCGTCTTTGTTCGAACCCGAATTGGATTTGCGATTTTACATTATCGGCGCTCGAATGGGTGTTGGCTTGGGATTTCCCGAGGCCCGGTAATCCCCTGGAAAAGGAAGAAAACTTGTTCGCGGTACTTGTCTGATCTCATATCGTTTTGCGCCTGGTGTCTTTTTCGCGATGGAGTTGCTGTGGTCTCTCGGTCGACTTTGGGCGTCGAGTCGGCGATTCTACGTGAAATGTAGACGCTTGGAACATTTTTCTTAAATATCTGGCTGGAATTTAGAAGATGCTGCTCGAAATCCGAGTCGCGATGCCCGTACGAGAGTCGGCCGGGATTCGACCCGGTCGATCGATGAGGTCGGGATGCGACCGGGTCGATCCGATCCTCATTTGTGCCCGCATTTGTCATGTTTTCCACTCGGCCAGGTTTCATGATGTCGACCACATGATGGACTCCATTATCGAAGGGGGGGCTCGTGCAGCTGTTGTAATCGATCGTGTCTACGGTCGTTCCATGAGGAAAAAAAGTTGTTCGCTATTGAGGCTGGAAAAAGACGAATTTTTCACGGGGAGGGGGGTTGAGAGGGGGGTCGCCTCCGTTTCGTCCCGCCCCCCTCGTCAGCACTTAACACTTGGTGGCCATAAATATTGCAAGCCCTCCTTTATACTCCATGGCCTTTGTTTTCTTTCCGCGAATGCACTCGAGAAGCCGCAGGAAAGTGTCTCGTTCGGGTTTTATTCTTCGCTTCGGTGTGCCCATTCCGGGAGAACGAAAGGATTTTCATCACGCGGAGAGTCGGAGCGTGCAGGAGGGATTGCAGAAACCGCAGGTGTCGGTGAAATATGCAGATGATTATTTGCAGAGGGCATTGCATTGTCTCCCTCTTTTCGGTTATCCGGATGATAATGGGGAGTCGTGGGCCGTATAAATGGCGGAAGAGAAGTGGCCTCTCGAGGGAGACACTTTCATCTGCACACATGCCCCGGTTCTCACCCCCGGATTACGATTTTTTTTTTGCACGGCCCCCACCCCCTTTGGATGGGAAAGGGGTCGGGATTGAAACGGGGGGTGGTGCTGAATTTTGCATGTGCCGGGTGTGTTTATGCAGGGGTCGAAGGGGGGCAGCGGGGGCAAATTTCGGCGTCAGGTGTTTCTTAATGGCAGGGGGGGAGACGCACGACACATGGAAACCCGTTTTCCAATCACTCCCCATCGATCGCCGCAACGACGAAACATGAAATGATCATGGGAAGATGGTGGGATTCCATGGAAGGGAAGAAAGTAGGAAGAAAGGAGAGTCAGTCGATGAATTCGGGTTCGGCTCAGAGGAGATTGGGTCTTCGGTCCCGGGGGGGTAAGGGCCAGAGTCCGTCTGAGGGTTCGTCGAGGGAAGCCTGGGAACGGAGCAGGTGTTAAGTGATAATTAATGGCACGACAAATACAGATAGGCTGGGGGGTTGGCGCATGTCTGGTCGGGTGGGGAGGGGGCAAGTCTTCGGTCGGGGGAAGACTTGCTCAGTGTCTGTGCTTCGTCGGTGCTCGCTCGCAGGTTGAATCTCCTCGTGTTATAGATGACGTGGATTTTTTTTTCTTTCTCGGACGGGGAATGATTCCCTAGGGAATCCGGACACGGTCCCTTGACCAGGCAGAAAAAGAACTCATCTCCCTTCTAACACATACGTCTTTCTCCTCCCCCTTTTTTTTTTCCTGACGTTCTGTGCTTCCTTTCACGCCCCCCGATCGATCCCTCTGTCAACACTCTCAGGTTTTCCGCGAAACCAGTGCGGTTTGTTAGGGGGGCACGATGGTAGGCGGAGATGTTGGCTAGCGGAGTCGAGGGATGTCGTCGTCGCCGCCGTTGTCGACCGAGAGGAGTCGATACCGGTTTCCTCGCCCCGGGTTCAATCATCAGCTTCCCGGTTAGACGAATTTTAGTTTCGAGTGGAATTTAAAGGGGGAAAAATCATTTGTGCATTTCTCAATATCGTTGTTTTTTTTTTCGCTCGGTTGCGTCACGCGCGCGCTGTTGCGGTCGGCGGGGGAAATTCCTCACTTTCTCGCCCGAGAGGGGGGAAATAATTGTCGTTGATTATCACCGGGCGGTCACGTCGATGACAAAAAGTATTTCATGGGGTTCCCGTCTTTTTTTGTCTTTTCCATGGACAGAGTGGCCGAGTGCAGAGAGCAAAGCGTACGGACTGCCCCGATGTAAGCATCTTTTTTTCATCGTCGGAGGAGAGGCAAACTATTTTTTTTGCACTGTTTTTGTCGTAGTAGGCAGTTCCTGCACTCTTGCCACTTTGCACTTATTGCACTGTCGGTATTTATTTGAAGCATGACGGAGTAGTTCGAGGTTGGGACTAACGTGGTTGTAGTCGGCATTTTCTTTTGTGGCTCGTCCTTTCTTTCTTTCTTTTAAATCTTTCAATCGAATCGAAAAAAATTCTCTGAAGAGGTGGATTTACCAGTCTGTCACGACTTTCTTTATTCCCTGTCTCGGATTTGCATGAAAGTAGGGGCCGCCGTTGCATTCGGCTCGCCCGAATTCTCGTAGAGGTAGTTGTGGATACGATCAAAGATTTTCTCCCGCGTGTAAGTTCTGGGAGTGTAAAGTCTGGGAGTTTTGAAGTTCTTGACACTTGCATGTGCAAGAGAGAGATTCTCGAGCCCGGCAAAGCTTGCTGGTCTTGGTGAACTCGGCGGAGTGGAATCTTTGATCGTACACGAAGCAGTGGGCAAGGGGATGCAATGAAAATCGGGATGCGAATAAAATAGTAACGAGGTTTCTGTTCTGCGACAGATGGGAGTTCCCCTTTGATCCCCGGTTCCCTGACTCCACCGGACAAGCTTTCCGGGGACGGGAGCGTGAGCCACTTGGGCGGGAGCGGACCGCACCATCAGCATCCTCACCACCACCACCACCCGCTGAACCATCACCACCCTCACCACCACCCGCACCACCACCCCCATCCGCACCCGCATCACCTGATGGGCCTGGGCGGCCCGCCTTCCTCCGTGGCACCGTTGAGCATCTCCACCGGATTCATGCCCCACATGCAGACTCCTCCTTCGCCCCTCCCCACGCCGTCGCCGCCGGTGCCCCTCGACCGATACGGGTGAGGGCTCGTAGGGGTTCCTGGCCTCTTTTGTCTCCCTGTGTTTCGTGGTCTGGAGCGAAATGCCGGGAGATGAGGATGCGTTAGATAACGCGATTTGTGTCGTTTTACCGTTTATGGTTTTAGAAGATTGCGTTTTCGTTTTAATTTCAAACGGATGTTGTTCGATTTCTGCGAACGTGTTTTACAGTTGCATTTGGATCACTTCTTGTGCCATTTATGCCGATTCGGTATCATTTAAATATATTTATTGGAAAGCAATTATAAGCATTCTAGACATTACATATTTTCACTTGAAACGTAGTAAATTTCTCTGCAGTCAAAACGTCATTTGGTTTGGGAAAAAAAAAGAAAAGAATAGTAATTAAAATAATAAGTAAACTTTGAACGGAATATCGTAAATTCAAGAAAGGACTGACGTGGTGTGGGAATTTCTGCGCTTGCAGTCACAAGGACCAGCGGTTGACCCGGGAGGCGATGCGGAAGTACCTGAAGGAAAGGGGCGACATGGTGATCATGATCATCCACGCGAAGGTGGCCCAGAAGTCGTACGGGAACGAGAAGCGGTTCTTCTGCCCCCCGCCGTGCATCTACCTGCTGGGGGACGGGTGGCGGCGGAAGAGGGAGCAGATGCAGAGGGATGGAGAGACGGAGCAGGGGTCGCAGATCTGTGCCTTCATTGGGATCGGGAACTCGGATCAGGACATGCAGCAGCTGGATCTCAACGGCAAGGTAGGGGAGAGTTGTGGGTCGAGAGGGGGGGAGCTGGTTGAGCGATGTGGAGGAGGAGGGCTAGATGGGTTGGCCGATGTCAGACTGTGAGGAATATGCGAATGTTTGTCGATGTGGTGGGGCTGCTTGTTCGTATTCTGTGTGACGTCACGATTTCTCTTTTTTGGTCCTGTTTGTTGTTGAATGCACTTGGGCAGCGGATAACAGGTTATTGCTGATTTTAAAAGGCGTTGAACACATTACTGAAACATGGTGCGTTCGCTGTAATGACAAGCCAGGCTAAACGATAAGGATAATTCAAATTTTGTGGACCATAATTCAGTGGGTGTTGTATTTCTATGCTGCAGATATTCTCTTGAAGATTCAAGTTAGTTGAATAGTCAGATAAACTGATATCTTATTCAAGATTCAATTCAGAAACAAAGGCTGCTTATCATATTTGAATATCAAAGTAATCTGATATCCCATTCATATCATTTCTGTTATTAAAATAGCTTGGAAGCTGTAAAAAAAAAAAGCACATTCATGAGGAATCATGAAACACCATCTCAAGAAGGCCTATGAGTACCTCCAATTTTTTTTTCACATTGACCATGTGATTTTGGTAGAGTTTTTGTTGCTGGTGAGGCCACATTTGTATCACAAGTAAAATGGTGACCCTATCAAAGTTATGAAGTCTTAAGAACCTTAGGGATGACCTTAATAATGAATCTCATTCTTTGACTTTTGTAACACAAGGTGCATTGCTTCAGATGTTAAATGCTTGACAGAACTGCTGAGTGATCTGGTAGGTTGATGGTGTTCTTTTGTTTTATCGTCGATGCAGCACTACTGTGCGGCTAAGACGCTGTTCATCTCGGATTCGGACAAGCGGAAACACTTCATGCTCTCGGTGAAGATGTTCTACGGATGCGGGACCGACATCGGACTTTTCCACAGTCGTCGCATCAAGGTCATCTCCAAGCCCTCAAAGAAGAAACAGAGCCTCAAGAATGCCGATCGTGAGTACTGCTGGCCGTTTCACGGTGGGATTTGTTTCGATCATGTGAAATCAATGCAATTTTTTTGTTCCTAGTGTGTATTGCAAGCGGTACAAAGGTGGCCCTATTCAACCGGTTACGATCTCAGACGGTGAGCACCCGGTATCTGCACGTGGAGAATGGGAACTTTCATGCCAGTTCCACACAGTGGGGAGCCTTCACCATCCACCTTTGTAAGTTTCACTCTAAAAGGAATTTTAGAAATCCCATCATCTTGTACTTTGACTCGTGGGAGGACGTTGTCGAAGAGAAAGATCGACAAAGACTCGTCGGCGTGTGCATGAGATCGCAGTATACTTAGTCGAGTGCAAAAGAATTCATGTATGGAATCTCGGTTCCACCAGGTCCTTAGTGTTGATGTTGCTTTCAACTTTATCATCTATGGATCTCATATCCCAAGGTGATGATGCTTTTGCAGTGGACGACAACGAGTCCGAATCGGAAGAGTTCACCGTCCGGGACGGCTACATACACTACGGCACGACCGTGAAGCTCGTGTGCAGCGTGACCGGGATGGCCCTACCCCGTCTCGTCATCCGCAAGGTGGACAAGCAGATGGCCCTCCTGGATGCCGACGACCCCGTGTCCCAGCTCCACAAGTGCGCCTTCTACATGAAGGACACCGAACGCATGTACCTCTGCCTTTCTCAGGAGCGCATCATTCAGTTCCAGGTGAGTATCCGAGAAATTGTTGCACCGCTTTGTGAGAGAGTTGTAAGGAATTTCATGCATATTGTGTTGGTATATGTGCAGGCCACTCCATGTCCCAAAGAGCCCAACAAGGAAATGATCAATGATGGAGCATCGTGGACCATCATCAGCACAGACAAAGCAGAGTATATGTTCTACGAAGGAATGGGCCCCGTCCGTGCGCCCGTCACTCCCGTCCCCGTCGTCCACACCCTGCAGGTTGGCATGGGCTCTTCGAACTCCCATTTCTCTTTGAGAAATCATCAGGGTTCTTAAATGAAAGTGTCCCCTTGAAATTTACAGCTGAACGGTGGAGGAGACGTGGCAATGCTGGAGCTATCTGGGGAGAATTTCACTCCCTCTCTCAAGGTGTGGTTTGGGGATGTGGAAGCAGAGACCATGTACAGGTGTCAAGAGAGTCTCCTCTGCGTCGTCCCTGATATCTCAGCCTTCCGTGGTGGCTGGCAATGGGTCAGGCAGCCCACTCAGGTCAGTTTTATGGCCATCAATGTCATTATTTTCAGCTGGTAGTTCTATTGTACAGCAATACAGAGGCAGCTGGATGAATATGTTTTGCATTGGCTCAATGACCATGTTCTGGATTAGTTTTTTTTTTTTAAGACACCCATTGTAATTATTGCTGTCAATTAAAAATGCATTCCAGTTATTCTTGGCTTGCTTAAACCCTTGAACAGGTTCCATATGTATTCATATAAAGTCCATGGCAATGGGAAAACTACCTTGCTGAACTGAGCAATCTCATGGTTGAGCTTCCTTTCCTCACAATTTTGGAAAGGTTTCCAGTCAGTAATGTCTATCATTAATGGGAAACAGGGAACATGCAAGCTGCCTGAGCACCATAATTTTGGAAATTCATGTTTTTCTGGCATATTGCATGACGAGTATGCAATTAAGGCAAGTTCACTCCAACCCCATACCTCAGCACAATAGCATCTATGTGGATAGTTGAGCAAGAGTTACTTTAAGCAGCCAGAATTCTTGCTTTTATTTGTGTGAAACTTTTATCTGTGCACAGTAGTAAGAAATAAAGGTAATAAATGAAAAAAGTTATGAACTATGCAAAAAATGAGTTAAATAGGAAAAATATTCAATAAAGATACAGAAACACCACAATATGCAAAAAAAATTGACAGAAAAAACTACAAGTGTGAAAATAATATTAAAAAAGCATTTTATAAAATGACACATGCACAAAGCAGGTATCGTACTATATATTTTTTAATGATTTGTCTTGTGTACAAGGAAATACAGTATGACAGCTGTGATAATTGAAGCACTCCAGATTATAGAATAAAGTTCACTGATCCTTGGGGTATTCCATCAAGCAGAGTTGATTGTATCTAGAAGTTATAAGTTGTAAATAATTAGTTCCCTTGCCTGTAATGCCAGTTAATTATAACAGTAACTCAGATAGTTGCTTTCCTCTCCCTGATCCATTGATGACTATATTGGTTCACTGAAATGGCTCATGACATTTTCATGAAGCCCCTGCATAAGACTATGATGAAGGTGGAAAACTTTAATAGCCAGTGTTCCATTTCCATTGATTCTTGCTAGCAAAATAATGATTTAAAAAAATTAATTTCTTATTACACAGGTGCCAGTGTCACTGGTTCGAAGTGATGGAATCATCTATGCAACGGGGCTAACATTCACGTACACTCCAGAGCCAGGTCCCCGTATCCACTGCCCCGGGGCAGACGACATCCTCCGACCCCACCTGAACCATTACGACGCACCCCCACCTCTGGGATACGACCCACCGCCTCCACCGCTCCCACCGCCACCCCCGCACATGTAGCAACCATGCAAGAACATTTCCCTTGATGGTGCTACCATGGCTGCGAGGGCTTTCCACTGTGATCTGCTCATACATGGACCTCCAGATCTCCCTCCCATTAAGTACTTATCCAGTACTTGTTTATTGTGAAGAGAGCAATAATCGTGTGGGCTCGTGATAGCGTCCGGCAACTAAGATGAAAAGTGTATAGAGCCGGCTTCACTGCGAGATTCCCGTCTTTCCTGTTCTTGAAGCGATGCATTCCTCTTGTGCATCTATTCGTTGATTCTTCATCTCTTCTGTCGTTACACACCAGTGAGACATCCAAGGGAAACACCTAAGTTTGCTCAAGCAGTTCCTGACTCGGCATCACGAGTTCTTTGTTTTCTGCTTTCCCCTGTTGCTATTTATTTTTTGTTTCCTCCCTCCTCTGTCTGTAGTAGAGTTGTGTGCTTTCTCTTGTTATTCTCTTGTGATGTTTGGTATTGTACATGAAGGAATCCCTAGACACTTGAAATGATGACATGGTAACAGAATATTTTTCAGAATTATATGCTGGTTTTGAGGACACAGTGAAGCATTTATTTCTTCTTTCTTTGTCTGCCGTGATAAAACCAAGCATCCCTGGGATACAAATAATGCAATCAAAGAAACCAAAAAAACCATGGATAACGTGATATAAAGGAGAAAAAAAATTTCATGGACGATGTTTCAATATAAAAGAAATCACAGCTTGGCCGTTAGGGTGCCATATCTCTCTGCAGCTGTCTTCTGGAACTCCTGCAGCTTCATGGCCAGTCCCAAATTCCCTTTGACTTTCAGCTTGCCCTGTGAGAAAACAGGAAAAGTCCCTTGAGACAGCACCAACAAAGAACTTGACCCTTCTCAATGCCACACTAATGCCAACATCAAAGGCAGTATTTCTCCAGTTCAGTCCAAGTCCACTCTATCTGTTCTGCCTCTGTTGTAGAGAGAAAAGGCTAGGCCGACCAAAAGAAATGCAAAAAATAGTAAATCAAAAAGGGTAGAAAATTGAGTAGACATTTTTGAAAATTTTTTGACATTGAAATACTAATTTTTTTTTGGTGCATTCCTTCCTGTTCTCTCTTGCTTATGCAGAACTATTTGCATGTAGCAACCTGTTAACCTGGGAAGTTTCTGCCATCCCTTCCCTTGGTCCCAGTAATTAGGGCTATGCAAACAAGCAGAATCTTTTCAGAAGTCAAGATGAGATCCCATGGGTCTCCAGCATGAAGGCCACAGAGATGCCCCTTGAACCTTTTGCATAATTTGCACATCTAACATTACAGTCTGCCCAGCCTTATGCTTGAATCTTCCCTGATGTAAGAGCCATTCCCCAAATAAGGAAAATAATAATTATTCATGGATATGCATGCCATGAGCTGAAGTAAGCCTTCCCCTAAGTAAGCAAGTACATAGGGTGTTCATGTCAAGTCTCCTCCATGTGGAAAAAAAGAAAATTTGAGCAGGCCAAGTGTTGAACAGAAACAATGCCAAGGTCAATGCTGGCCATGTCAATGGAGGAGGAGTACACTTACAGAAAGAATAAAAGAAACTTGTGAATAAAGAGGAAAATTTGCAGTAGGTTCTGACTGAAGTGAAAAAATGAATTCTAATAATGGGAAAACTGCTTTGGTCTTCCCACACCCATCATGTCCAGAAGGATATGGATTTCTGAACACAAAAGCAAGCAGACAAACCTGAAAGAAGGCCTTCTGTGGATTGAGCTTGCCAAGCATTAGGTCAAAGAAATCTGTATCATTGACTGACAGCACCACATCTGCATCACCTGGAAGTAATAAAAAAAAGAGCTTAAACAATAGTAGAAAACTTGCAGCAAATTCCCATAAGACACCATCGAGTACCTTCTTGCCCAAAGACGACCTTCCCGTTGCCGTTCTTGGCATCAACCAGCCAAATCCCTTCTTCCCCCTTGTCATTTTTCACTCGGAACAAGTACACACCGTTCACCTTTTTCACCCAGTTTGCTCCATCCTCCCTGCACCATGAATAAACAATTCATACAGCACATGCACAGTCAACTTATGCAACAAAAAAAACTGAATTGTGCAATGAATGCACCGGAACTCACTTCAGACTCTTCTCAATTTCATCAAATATCACAGATGTTTTGAATGAAGACTTGTCCAGGGAGGTGCTCGTCTGATTGAAATGGATGTCTCCCCTAAATTAAAAAAATTCACTCAATCTAATCTAAAGAGCAAAGCAAAAAGTTAACACAGCTTTAAAGTTTCCAATAACACCTCTACTTCCAATTACAAATGATACTTTAAAGATACCAATCATAAAACCTATATCAGTTACAAGTTAGAATCATTCACCATGTTAATTTACAACATATGAACGAGATAGGGTGAATCACTCACTGCGAGGAATGACGAGGAAAGCCCATGGCGTAGAGTCCTACGACAACAGCCCCACCAAGGCCAATGTTGTGCTGAAGGGCCAATTTTGCACCTGGGACCTGACGCTTTCCAGCTTCCCCTCTCAACTGCCAGCACAGCTCGGCACACTGAGCCAGGCCTACAGTGAGACGGGAGACACTCCAATCACAAACTAGGGTATGTGAAGTGTCTGAGATAAAGCTCAAGGTCATCCAAGAGAAATACCACACACTCTGCTATCACTCTCACGAACTCCCATAAACCTGTATCAACACACCAAACAGCTATCTGAACAATATGCTACTGTATGTAAATGAAATTATTTGGTGGAAGCATTGTCTTTGCTCTCCCACCAACATCTGGAACCATATCTTGTTACATGTGAAAGGAGATTATCACCTACTTCCTTCCAGTAGGCCACTGAGAACACTTTCATAACAAATCCAGATGGAGGGGGGGGGGGAGGGGGGATTGATGATGTTTATCATAGTTCTGCACTCTGTACCACCCTCAAGTGTCCTGCTGTGAGGCTCATGCACCACAGACAACTTGCAAACTTTTGAAGTCATTTGAAGTTTCGTATAATGACAATACTTACCATGCATCTATTTTCCCATTGCACAAACCCATCCTTGATCATGGAAGCAATTATGGGTTCCCCGTTGAATGCACAAAGGCATTACTAATTCCTGGTTCAGGAGCTCCCTAGGATATGAACTTACCATCCATCTTGACTAAATCAATGAAATCTGGTCAGAGTCTCAGCAAGTGAAAGTGACACCTCTAAGCATTGACAGACCTGTAGCACCCAGAGGATGGCCCTTAGAGATGAGGCCCCCACTGGGATTGATGACGTACTTCCCTCCGTACGTGTTGTTGCCCGTGTCGACGAGAAGCCCGGCCTTTCCCGGCGGACACAGACCCAACGCCTCGTACGTGATGAGCTCGTTGGCCGAGAAGCAGTCGTGGAGCTCCACGACGTCCACGTTGGACGGTCGACACCCCGTCTTAAGATAGAGCCGCTCTGCTGCATTTTTTGTCATGTCGTAGCCCACCTGATAAAAGAACGCCACCATGTGAGAATCTGAACCATCTCCATGATTGGATACTGTGAATAATCCATCAATACTTTCTATGTAATATGATAATGTCTGTAATTAATATCTACATTCCTCCAATATGCTTTTCATCTCAGCAATCACTAATCAACATCAATGGAGTTGCAAAGACTGCAGTTTGCATCATGTCCAGATGTCCTTACAGTGCTCATCAATACACAAATAAAATGTATCAAAGTTATAAGATATCCACATATAGATCCACTACCATGTTCATCATGCTGCGTTCCTGAAACGTTGAGTTGAAGTCTGTGACCATCTCCATGCCCAGTATCTCCACGGCTTGTCCCTCGAGACCCCTGGAATGAATAAAGTCTTCCGAGGCCAAAATTGCGGCCGCCGAACCGTCGGACGTCGGACAACACTGGAGTTTGGTCAGAGGATCAAAAACCATCGGTGACCCGAGAATCTCATCCAAGCTGTATTCTGTCTGGAACTGTGAGTATCTGTGGGGCAAATAAATATTCAAGTTCAATCATGTTAGTGGCACATCAGGCTTTAAATGAATTTCATCACTTACGGGTTGTTCACGGAGTGCTTGTGATTCTTATAGGCAATTTTGGCAAAATGCACAGGGTTGGTCCCATATTTCTGCATGTGTTCCTTTCCTGCATTCCCAAACATTTGTGGGGCCATAGGTGCAGCTTCGATTCCCACAGAATCTGCCATCACCTGGACGTGCCTGTCCAGCGGATTCGTTCTATCTTCGTACTGCAAAATGACATTGGATCCATAAATATATTAATAATCTTCACAAGGAAATTAAAGATTTTTTGAGCCCAAACCTTGGACGTGAGAGAGCCCCGGTCCATCTTCTCGAATCCAACAGCCAGAATGCAGTCGGCCTGACCCCCTTCGATCAACTGCTTCGCAAGCAGCAGAGCTGTTGATCCAGTTGAACAGTTGTTGTTCACATTGTAGATTGGAATGCCTGTGAGCCCCACCTCATACAGCGCCCTCTGTCCGCAGGTGGAGTCGCCTGCAATCAGCAAATCAAAGTTAGTAATGTGCAATGCAACAAAAGCAGAGCTTTTGCAGTTTTATATGCATACCATATACATAGCCCACACATGCCTGTTGCACATCTCCATATGCCAATTTTGCATCCTGCAAGGCCTTCCCCACAGATTCTCTCACCATGTCAGGGTAGTCAAAAGCTGGCCTTCGACCAGGTTTCTCGAACTACATGGAATGGAACAGATGCCCCATAAAAAACCCACTTCAGTACAACACCAAAATATTGTTAAATAATTCTAATGAAAAATAAATGTCCTATTACACTCACAAACTTACCCTTGTACAATAGATTTAAGGTTCAGTCATTTCACCTGTCCCATCAGGTTGAAACTTCTTTATTTCCCAATTAAAGGGAGAGCACAGGTGAGAAAAATGCACTTTAGAGAATTGGATACATTTGGAGTGAGAGTGCGATATCACAGGGTGGATTTGGAACTTGAATTGGTGGAATCCAATTGGATTAATAAAAAAGGGGGGGAGGGGGAAGCTGAACAGGCCACATTGGGTTGATTGGATGCATTGGAAATAAATTTGGAAAGTGGGAGGAGGAACCAAAGACACTTTGGAGGTCTTACAGGAAAAATTGGTCTTTCGTTTCAGGTATACCAGTGTTATGTAAGGGATAACATATCATGTTGGGTAAGCAGAGCCCAATGCAGTCACAATCAGTTGTCACCTGCAACTGGAACTTATTGGGGTTTGAATGTGAAAAGGGCCTCTTGTGCTCATTGACTGGATGGTACACCATACCATAATTAGCGGGCATTGATGACCCCTGAGATGTTTCCCAGGGAAGGCCCAAGGAGAGTTGAATCCTAGAAGTTCTAAGAATCTTGATGTCCTAATGGGTGTGGCTTAAAGGATAAGAACTTGGGGGCAGAGAAGCCCTGAGTAAGGATTATTATATGCCCATCCACAACTTGGATTCATTGAGACCTAGGCCAAATCGACCCAAATTGAAAAACTTGGACCTTGGCTAATAAGGCTCCTAAACCTAGAACAAGTACATCATAGATCCTAGATCAAGTACATCATAAGCCAAAACTTGCCTTGGTCATCCCAACTCCGACGACATAAACTTTCCTTGAAGGTGCCATAGTTGAAAACTTAACAGAACCCACCAGACACCAAGATGCGTTTAACCGCGTTATAACGGCCTGCATCAATGCACTTCAACCTCTCCCTGACAACATTGAAGTTGCGAAAGACGCAAGTTCAAGGTACTTCAGCTGTGTTGTTATTCACTGAAGACATCTATACTCTAACGGAGGAAACTCCAGTTTATAATTTATAAACCAGGCGGTGGAAGCGTCAAGCTATGGCAAAGTTCGATCCAAATCACAAAGGTTGTTCGCGGAAACCACTCCGTGCCAGGAGTTGCTAAGCGACAATATTTTCAAGAGAATGACCTATAAAGTTGGAGACTGGAAATAGCGAAATCAGAGGGGACGCTTGAGATCTCATTTACAATTTTTGTTTCGATGAATTGCATCCCACTTTCATGAGAAAGATGGCAGGTGTTCGAGAAGGCCTTCAGCCGTAACACGATTTAGAAAAATGCAATTTAGCACCTTGCTGACAACATTTTGATGGCAGTAATGAGGAATGAACATGCGTCGTCCGCGTTTTTCTCGAAAAACTGGGCGTGAAGTCGAAATATTGCGTCCAAAGAAGCTGCAGAATTTTTTCCTCCGAGACGGAAAACAATAAGAAATGCACGGATGAATAATTGCAGCCGTTTCCAGCGAAATAGGTCGGTTCCGTGTTTCATTAGGCGATCTCGTTATGCAGGCTGCATCCCCACATTCGCCCATGAGATCCCATTTTCCCCCCTCGTTTTTTGTTTAGGGTCGCCCTTCGTCGTTCTCGGAGGGGATTTTCAGAGACGTGCTGGGAAGGCATGGGAGATCACGTTTGCAACATTCACGAGGAATTCTTTCTGTAAGTCTGGATCCCCCTTCGAACGACACGCACGCCGTTTGTGCTCCAACGTGCCCCGTCTGAAATTCCATATTTTGATGAGCCTTTTTTTTTCGAATTTAACGATTGGCGGCTGCCTCTTCGACAGTGACAAATTGAATATGACCCCAAACCAACTCCATCGAATATGCCCCAAACTAACTCAAATCAAATATACTCGAATCGACTCAAATCGAATATGCCCGAGAGGAGAGACAAGATCGAATATACTCGAATCGACTCAAATCGAATATGCCCGAGAGGAGAGACAAGATCGAATATACTCGAATCGACTCAAATCGAATATGCCCGAAAGGAGAGACAAGATCTCATCCAATTAAATGCGTCAGGCGAAAAGACAGAGAAGCCCCGCGGGTTCCCGCGATCGATGAGAACTCCCACGTGTCCCCATCGAATTCCTCCTTCCTCCGTCAGGTTCAATTTGGAATCCCGAGCGGAAGAGGATGGAATGACGAGGGAATTCGCATCAACCAGGCCTGGCAATGGCCAGACCAAGTAAGTCGGCTCGTTGCAGGCGGGTATATAAGGAGCTTTCTTTTTTGGAGAGGGGGAGGTGGGGGGGTGGGGTAGGACTGCAGTATTTGCGACTTCTGGGGACTGCATTACGGCTTCCCGTGTTATCTTTGGCTCCAAAAATATCGGCAAGTGCAACGACAACTTCAGTCTTCCACATAACCTTCGCGATTTCGGAGGATTTCCTCCTCTCCCGTGAAATGCCGGACTCAACGTTGAAACCTCTCATCGTTGAGGCCTCTCATCGTTGAGGCCTCTCATCGTTGAGGCCTCTCGTCGTTGAGGCCTCTCGTCGTTGAGAACTCTCGTCGTTGAGAACTCTCGCCGTTGAGAACCCTCATCGGTTTGCTGGCCCCGAATCTAGCACATTTTGAAGGCGGAAATCTGAGAAACACCTTCAAGTCATGCGTAAAACAGTTTGCCCTGTCCGACTGGTTTTATTCATGGATGGGCCCCCTTTCGGAGCGGTGTGACGGGTCGACAGAGCCGACAGGTCGACAGGTCGATACGTTTCGGATTCTCGAGTGAGCAAAACGTGAACTTGGGGAATCTCGTTATGTGGGTCATTCGAACGGCGATTTCATCTCCTCCCGTTTCGGTTGTGGCTCGCGATTTCGTCAGGATTATGTCGCGGGGGTGAATGCATGGGTGGCAGCCTGGAAGGCACGGACGAGGCACGGATGAAGTACGGATGAAGCACGGATGCGGCGAGATGAGTCGCAAGATCCGGCGGGAAATGACGGTCTGCGTGACGTTGGCTGCGGAGGCCGGTCGTTGGGGCGTAATGGGCGTGAGCGAGCGTTTGCGGATGAGGAAATAATTATCGCCGCCGAGGCGATAACGGAAAAAAGCCTCGTGAAAGCCCTCGGAGCATCTACGAACGGGGCCTCGTCGCATGTTGCATTCGTCAGCGAGTCGCAGATCGAGAGAGAAGATCCAGATGGTTTCCGCAAAAAAGGCCGTCGGAATAAGGTCGGAAGAATTCGCATCCCCCCGCGAAGGAAGCCCGGCTCCGCCCCTGAGCCGGAGCAGACGATCCCAGGCAACAGCAGCAGCCGAGCAAAGTGCATCGCAGCAGGTCGCAGGGAAATAGAGGGGGAGGGAAAGAAAAAAAGTGTCGGCTCGTTGGAGGCACGGCCCCAGCCAAAGGAGCTGCGTGGCTAGGCCCCGGCCAGAGTCTCCCCGCTCCTCAGTCGGCCTCCGGACGCCGAGCCGCGAACATCCTCCGTTCTCTGTCTCTCTCTCTTTCTCTCGCGCTCTCGACGTTCTCAGTGTCTCGTTCGCTCTCGTCGTGCAGCGATGCCGGGAAAGAACGAAGATCCGTGCGGATGTGGGACTCGACCCGTGACGGTGTCCATTCACCCGACCACGGGTGGCCAGTTCGAACTCCAGACCTCAGCCGCGGAATCCGTGGATTCGCTCAAGAAGGCCATCTCGAAGAAGCTCAAAGTCCCCAAGGAGCGAATCTGCCTCCTCTATCGAGACAGGTAAGCCGAGAAATGCAAAACCGAACGCGGAATCCTCGGGGTCAGGTGCAGCCGAATTCTATTTTCGGGGATCCGCCAGCTGCCGTCGTGGAAGCCATGTGTCCTCGGATTTCTGCTTTGGCATTTTCCCACGCTCTCCCCCTCTTTCCCTATTTTCGTGCCCCGTTCCCAGGCCTCTGCCTCCGTATTCGGAGGTGGGCCCAGGCCTTCGCATGAAAGTGGGCTCAAGGCACTAAATCCCGTGCTTGATCAATGCCTCCGTCCCCATTATCTGTCAGATCTCAATCCAAGAAGCCGATTAGGCCGCCACGAATCGATAGCGATAATAAGAGGGGGGAGAGAACATCGACCAAATGTCTTCCTTTTTTTTTTTTTTGGCAGGTCGTCGATGACGTCAAGCATCTTCTCATATCTTTTTTTTTTTGCATTTTTCCCCGCAGGCATCTGCGAGACGGGAGTCTGACCGAGAACTCCGTCGGCGATGGGGCGAAGATTACCCTACTTCCCAGCGTCGAGTCCGGCCTCCTGGTAAGCAATTTTTCTCGCTTCTCCCGGCATTCCAGGAGATAAAAGTCTCCCGAGTTCTTTCCTCAAGGTTGGTAGGAGGCGAAAATCCCCCCAGAGAGGAATCGGGTTTCCGGGCCACATTTATGGGCTTTTTTTTTTCCCTCCATGTAAGGGTCGCCCCGAGGCGACGGAGGATGAGTCGCCATTCCTCCTCGAAGGGGGCCGGGGGATTTTAGTATGCAGGAATGAGATTTGGGGGTTCCTCGCGCTTTACAATTTCGAGGGGGGACCGGGGCCGTTCGAGGACCGAGTCTCTTCTCGCGTCTTTTCCATTACGTTCGCGATGAAAACCGTTTTTTCCTCGTTCTGGGACCCGGCAGGGGCGGGGGAATGTAGGGCAAGTGCACGCACGCACGCACGTACACACGTGCACGGACAATCTCGGCTGAGGTGACCGCATACAGACTCGGGGGTTAGTTGGGAGGAAAACCATTCCCATTCCATTTCAAACACTCTGGAGTGATTGAAGCCTTTTGTGGGTTGCGTCAGCGTTGCGCAAAGGGGCTCTCGTATCCCACGTCCTCACCTTGGATGTGTTGACAAAGCAGAGGCCACTGTCGAGTGGTTAACCATTCTGGAATGAAAATTCACCGACCGTCTTGGGTTTCAGAATCAGAGAGGGAGTGTCTCGGATTTTTTTTTTTTTACGACTGTTTTGTCATATCGGGCTTTCATTCGATTTGAAAGGAATCGAGCCTCAGCCTTGTCCTGGATATATTCGGTATCGGCAGATCTCCCCCCACGTGGGTGGCATTTTCCTTCTGTCCCGGGAGGGGCCTTTTTCCCCGCCGTTTCGGCCTTTATTCCCGGCCACGCACGCCCACTTTCGGGGTGGGGGCGGGGTCCCTCGAATATCCGCCTCTTTTGTCTCGTTTTCCTGCACTTTCCCGACTGGGGGGAATTCCGTCTCCCCCGAGGGCGCTTTTCGGCTTCTCGTGAGTGATAAATTTCTCCCTCGCCCTAATTAAGACCCATCGATCGGGTGGGAATGGATTGATGAGCCGGATTCGCCGTACGGAATACCGGAGGCGAGAAAGTGGGACTCTTCCTGCATGTTTATCAGGCTGGGACGATGTAATACACAAACGTCTGACCTGCCAAGGTTAGGCACGGGTGAAGTCTCAATAATTTCTCTCCGTTAAATCAGTTGCCTTTTATTTCTCAATTTGAAGCCGGAGATTTTACGGTCCGACAACCATGGCCTCCTTCGCATGAGTCTTTTTTCTCTCTCCTCTCTCTCTCTCTCTCCCTCCCTCCTTCGATGGGCCTGTTCCCCCACCGACAAGAAAAGGCCATCTTTAAATTTCTGGGGTCTCCTGCAGGCTCGTTTATTCCTGTACTCCTCTCGATAGACCTCTTCCCCCTGCACATAAATTCAGGGCGAAGAGATCCTCCTTTCCACCGGTCGTGTAATGAGAATATATCTGGGGAGTTGCTTATATGCTCGAAGAAAGGCCTTTTCTCCGCGGGACTCTTCATTGTCTCCTCATCGATCCCGTCGAAGGACTTGGGAGAGAATGGACCGCTGGAGGACAATATCTCTCGGTGTATAATGGACCCTCGTCGTCGAAGGATCCATGGATTCCATTTTAAAGATGGCCTTTTCTTGTCGGTGGGGGAACAGGCCCATCGAAGGAGGGAGGGAGAGAGAGAGAGAGAGGAGAGAGAAAAAAGACTCATGCGAAGGAGGCAATGCGGCGAGGCGACCCACTTCCCCGGTTCTTTCCACTTGGAGATCCTGCTCGGTCCAAGACGGGTATCTTCTCCGTGATAATACCTGTTGTGTGGGAGGATGGATGCAGTAGGGGGGGGGGAGGTTTGCAGGTGGCTTTCGGCTGCAGCTGCTGGTCTAGTAATAACAGGGGAATGCCGAGGGAGGGAACGAGAAAAAGAAGGGGGGGAGGAAAAGAAAAAGAAGGAGGGAATGTCCTCCCTGCCTGGGTTCAAGGTCCCTCCTTCCCCTTCCCTTGTTCTTCCCCGCACCGAAGTACTATGGCCTATCCGCAGTGGTCCATATTTCCTTCCGATCGTTCCCATGGTTCTCTCCCCCTCATTTAAAGGTCCCCGGCTGGGACGATGGCATGAATGATGATCGGTGCAGAAATGATGAGTTATTTCGCCGGTTAATGACGTTGCTGCCCGGCTTTAAATCTGGAATCAGCTGTATTGAGAAAGGGTAATTTCTGCCGATCATAAGGCTTGCTTAATTCGGTGAATGCTACAATTTCCTCGTCCCTGGACCCGAGAGAGAAAACATGAAAATTTCAGGGCCACACGGGTGGGAGTAGTGATATTGGCTTCGATTACATTGTTTATTAATCACTGGCGCTGCAGACGCTATTGACTTCCTGCCAGTACTGTCACGGCAAGAGAAGTGCCCAGTATAGACAAAGACAGCCCTGCATATCGGATCCTCATCCTGATATGCGAAGGAGCCAAACCAGGAAAACTCGATGGTACAATAATGATGATAGTTCGTTGAAAGCACTAGGGTGTAAACTATGGAGTGTCAAAATAAATAGTATCTTCAGAATGAAAAGGAATGGAATCTATCACGCCTTCAGCCTCAAGCGCCCCTTTCGAGTAATCCATATTTTACAGATTTGGTGTGAGGCTCTATAGGAGTTGCCATGGCAACAGGCAAGGAACGCAAGCGGCGATGGTATGTCGATGGACGGATTCATCGCTTCTCTTCACACAGTCGGGTCAGGTCAGGAGAAGAAAAAGACTAGATTCTCACACACGCGTGTGTGTGAGAGTGTGTGATAGCCCGAGGGCATCCATGTGGGTCAGTCATCCATCGAGACTCACCCGCCTGGGACTGATTGTATCCAAGTAGGGCGAAGGCTAGGCTCCACTAACTGGCGCTATTCAGTACGACCGCGTAAAGGGAAGGTTGGTTGGAGTGACGTCAGCGGAGGCGAGCTCTCCGATTGGCCACCTCCGAGAGCCTGCCGCTGGGGGAACCAATTAGCATCTGCATCCACCTCTTTCATCTTGTCAGGGTCTCGTGGCATCCTCTTTGAAGTCTTCCGAAGGGGTCGTAGGGAGAAGACCTCCAGGATGACGTCTTGCATGAGCATCCGATGATGTATGCCTCCCTTGCGGGAGCTGCTTCATTCACTGCGATGAGAGGGTCCGCTGACTCGGTTCCGAATCGCTGGAGAGCAATGGATCGGACTAGAGGCCTAATCCGTGTGTGTGAATTTGATCTTTTCAAAAGGGGAGGGGTCTTTGTTGAAACGATACGGCGTGTGTGAAATTCCTCCCCTCCTTCCCTTGAACGTGACTTTGAGCCCTGCCTCGGGCCTCCCCTGCATAAGATGCGTGGCTGGGTTCCCTCCCAGGAGATTTTCCCCCCTGTTCTTATGTGTAAATCTTGAAATGCGTCCTTGTTCGGTTCCTGCCCTTGCTCCTTTTGCCCTCGCACTTGACAGGTCTACCACCTCCATCGAACATTCCCCGGCCCCCCCCCCCCCCCCCCCCCCGTGCGATAAGCCCCAGATGGGCCGGATCCCAAGCTCCGGGTCAAATCTGTATTTTTTTTTAATGGATAATTTTAAGGTAATTTTCTGGTTTGTGTCGTGGAACTGGCCTCAAGAGGCTGGGAGATAATGAGCTCTTTGAAGCGAATGATGTCGAGAGAGCAGGAACAACGGGCCCCTCTCTCCCCCTCACACACACACACGCACACACAATGACCCTCTTTCTCAAAAGGCTCTTTTTTTGTTTCTTTGCCCAGGCACAGAGACCGGAACAGAGCGTCATGCAAGCCCTGGAAAGCCTCAACGACAACCAGGTAAGCAAGCTTGTAATTTCCCCCTTTTGTTTTCCTCCGTCTGTCGAGAAGAAACCAGATGATAAAGAGGGCAGGAAGTTCATAAAGCGACCTTTGTTCTGGCACGATTTTGCATCGAGAAAGTCTCTCGTCTCTGGATCGGCACGCTTTTTCGCGCAGAAGTGACGAAATTACGCCGCACACGGAAATCAATGATCGTGACTCCAAACTTCTTATATCAGTCACGAGATCGATGACCTCAAGTTGGGGGTCTGGAATTATCTGTCATTTGATGACCTTCACGGTTATCCATTTTTTTTTTCTTGCAAAAATCCCTTGCAGATGCTGACTCATTCCTTCCTCTATTCGTGTCTGTTCACGGTCAGCTCCATCATGGTTTCGCGAGTTACCCTTTGTGACGAAAGGGAGGAAGGAAAAAAAACTCCATTGTATCTCGCCCTTCTCTCGGTTGGACTGTTTAATAATTTATCGAGCTGTTAGCGAAGGTAGTAATCCGGCCTTGAGGACCCGATGCGAGGGGGGGGGGGGGACGCGCGAGACGTGAACGCGGCACGCCCCCCCGCGGACGCGTTATCGAGGCGTCGACACCGGACCGCCGGCCTCGTCGCGATTGCCTTTATGGTCCGCGGAACGACACGATCCGCACGGCCTTGATCTTTCGAGGCGAACGATGTCCTTTAAGGGGAGAAATTTGTCGGTTGCACAAACGGGTCGTTGTGAGGGAGGGCATTGCTGCGTGCACGCGTGTGGGCGGGGGTGATGGATGAATGTCCCCAGACTTTAATTGAGAAAGAGGCCGTGCTGATGACAATGACGTTGCGTGGGGGAATTGAGAAATAACGGCTCGTCTGTGAGGGTGTGTGCGGAGCGTTTCGAACTGTAGAGGCTTTTTTTTTTTAGTTTTTTTTTTTTTTTTTTTTTGAACGGTTGTCTTCGCGCCGTGAGGTCCTTTCATGTGAGGTCGTTTAGCAGTTTCCCGGTGCTGGCCGGGTTTATGTTGTAGCCGATGGGGTCGTGTCGAATTCTATACCCCGAAGTGGTGAAAAAAATATTCCATCGAAGGTGGGAATAGAAAGGTGGATCCGCAATATCGCCAACCGCCACAAAGAAGGGCAGGGCAAACACGAAGCCCTCTTTTGATATTGAAATGCTTTTATTTTTTTTTAGGCGTGTAGGCACTGTATGGAGGAGGGGAAACTCCACCCTATATAGGATAATATGTGAGTGGACGGAGATTGTCACACCCAAAAACAAAAAAAAGGGACTCGCGGTCCTGGGCCGACTCCCTTCCTACTTTATTTACGTTCGATCCGTCGTCGAGTTCGTCCTTCTGTTACATAATGTAGACTCGTCGAGAGAAAGTAATGAAGAAGAATTCAAAACCCACGCGGTTTCTCGAGATTTACAGCCGTGTGTGTCCATCCGGAGGGGCATTGCGTCATGTCGGACGTCGTCGGGATTGTTTTTTATTTTGCTCGGAGGACGGAAAAGGTCCCCGGTGGGGAATCGGAGCACGGCCTTGTCCTGTCCTCATAATTTTCGGCCACTTGGTATGCATTGGCACCGGTTCTCTCGGTGTCCGTACTTAGTTTGCCGTACCTGATGTACGGCGGGGAGGAAGTTCGGTAAATCACGCAAACGAAGGCGGGATTATGCAATTTTTTTTTCCCGTCGAGGAGAAAGAATCGGGAATGGGGAATCGATCGCGTGGAAGGTTGATGAGTTTCCTTCTCCCCGGGGGAGGCTCTGTAATCGAAAAAAAAGCCAGTATTTTTATGGGTCGGACCCGAATTGAATTTTCAGGCACGCCCGATCTCCATCCATTTGTGTGTGTTGGGGGGGAAGGGCCACGAGGCGTGCAATTAGCACCCAGGAGCTGATTTATTGGGCTCGTGATCCCCTCGTTGGCACGCCAACCCTTTAATTAAAACCCGATTGAAGGACCGGGAACGCCTCTAGGGACCAGTTTCATTTAAATTGGGTTCCGTGGCGCGAAATCCAGCATCTTCCTTGCCTTCGAGCCTTGACCCGTTTGGAGGCGATTTATCTCGAGTATTTCAATATCGACAGCGACGTCACCCCATACCGACCCCCCATTTTTTGCATACCGACCCTTTTTTTTTTTCCTC